GGCGGCGCCTACCTGACACTCCTCAACACCATAGCAAACATGGGCGTCATCCTGCCCAAGACCCCCGTCTTCGCCCTAATGGACGCCCTCACCTCCGCCACCTGCCGCGCCCCCGACGGCGCGGCCCTCCCGCTCCCGCCCGCACCCCCTTCCCACCCCGGCGCCGGCGCCGGCGGCGCTCCCCAGCTGCTGCGCTGCCCGAAGAAGCAGCGAGACCTGCTGATTGGCCCCGCCGCGGACGCGTGCGCCGCGGCGGGCGGGCGCTGCGTCCTGGACAGCGACGGGTTCTACATCGTGAGTTATGTCATGGTGGTGGCCGGGCTTGCTGTGGGCGCGTTCATCATGCGGCTGTTCCCGAGGCTCATCGGCCTGCCGCTGCAGCGGTGGCGCGCGCGGCCGCCCTTGGGCAGGCCGCCGCTGCTGGGGAAGGCAGGGTGAGGCGGCGGAGGGGCCCCGGCTGCCAGATTTTGCGGGTCGGTGCGCTGGTTGTTTCAACATTGGTACTGTGCTGCGCGCTCGTGCGCTGCCGCGTGTCAAACCACCTCTGTTTTGCCTCGGCGCGCTGCCACTTGGCGGCTGTTGCTGCTGAGAGTATGCTCGTGCGCGACGCAGGCGGCGGCCGCTTGGCCGGCAAGCCACAATTTTGGGATGGTTTCGCAGCATTCACACAGGTTTGCAGCACATTGGAACTTCGCCGCCCTTCAGCGGCGGCTGTCGGCCCCGCGGCCTCGGCACGCCTGGTCCCTTGTAATGGTCCTACATTTGCAAACATCACAAACTCAGGATATCATAGTCGAGGCAGGGGCGGAAGCTGGGCAGGGCGCATTAGACAAGTGTGTGTGTGGGGCTGACTTGCTGCGTCACATCATGCTTTGACCCCTTCTCTCGGCCCGCTGCGAGCTTTCACATTTTGAAGGCATGCGTTGATGAGGGGCAAGGCAAGCACACGAGGGGGTTTGGTCCAATCATCAGCTGCTGATTCAGAGACACAATTACTGCCTTGCCTTGCCAGGCCGCAGCTGCAGTCCCCAAGGACAAGCGGCCCTCCAAGTCTCCAGCAGCCGCCAGCGGCCCTCAGAAACAAAATGCGGGGGAATGATGTCACACGCATGCATCAGCGCTACTCACTGTCTCTGCAGTGAGGCAAGGGGTGAACGGGTTACAGCAAGCCTGCTGCACGCGCTGTGAAAAGAGTGGGGGAGGCCGTGGAATCGTGACAGGCTGGGTCAAGCGCCTGTTGCAATCACAAACAGCACACAACAACGGACGGCCATAAAATGCGCTGGCCAATTGCTTTGATTAGCCTCTGCTTTCCCCAAAAACCCTAGCGGGGCAGGTGCGGCGCTGTGTGTGTGGCTCGCGGGCTGCAGGTGCATCCGACAATGCATGTAGTGTGTGCGCCCCAAGCACAGCAGCGCCATGGCCCCTTGAGTCCCGAGTGCGAGGCACCGAGACGAAATCTCGCAGTGTGTGCAAAAGGTCGCTACAGTGCAGTCGCATGCGGCAGCCGCACGCACAGCTCGGGATGATGCCGCAGGAGAGTAGCAGAAGTGCATGCCAGGAAAAAAGCCCAAAACCCAGAGCAAGGCCGCACAGCGTCTTGGTACGCGCTCCGGTCTCCCACGTGCAACCAGCAGGTGGGGGTTTCTAGGTCTGCATTCGGGGCACATCCGGGCGTGCACCTGGGGTTTCAGAGATGGTAATGGTCCTGCGTGGCGGGCCTGGCGCCCGCTGCTCACGCCAAGCACTCTGCGAGGCCCCGAACCATTGGGCACTTGCAACAGTCGGGCCCCAGCCGCAGCCGCAGCCGCAGCTCCAGCCCCAGCCGCAGCCCCAGCCCCAGCCGCAGCCCCAGCCCCAGCCGCAGCTCCAGTCTAGCCCTCTCCGCCGTCGCCACTTGCGGCGAGCGCATCGAGCTCCGCCCGCGCCGCGTCCGCCACATCCCACTGCCCATGCCTTGTCGCAAGCCGCTCTGCCTCCGCCGCGTCCCAGGGGGCTGGCGGGTCCTGCGCGCGCATCCACCGCAGCAGGTCCCAGTGACCTTTGCGCGCTGTCTCCCAGCAGTCGTCACTCCAGGGGCACCCATGGGCCTTGAGCAGCTCCATGACGTCACGGCGTCCCCTGTACGCGGCGTAGCTGCAGGCCTCATCATCCATGGGAACGCCGGCGTCTATTGCCCACCGCAGCCCCTCCAAGTCGCAGGACGCTGCGAGCTCTGCAATGACCTGGCCGTCCAAGGGGCAGCCTTGGGCATGGAGCCACTTCAAGGCCTCCAACTGAAGGGGGGACGCGGGGGGG